TGAACAACAATCTCAGTTCGAGATATAATTGAAAATCGAAAGAATCAGGTTTCGAAATCCAAACAATTCGGCCAGACAGTTTAGTACATTTTTAAAAAAAAATTCTGCGAAGCATTTGACTATCGTCATTTCACTGTTAAAACAGCTCAATTTAACGATACACATGTCCTATTATTTGTTTGTGGATTCGACAAATTGTTCTGGATTCCGCAAACGTATTTTTTGAGCGATTTTGAGCGGTACAATGTTTTAGGTATTTGTTTGTGAAATCCAAAACAGCAAAGAAGATCAAAGAAAAGTAGCAATGTTGCGAATTCCGCGACAAATCTGATTTGGGCCTGTTGCGGAATCCGCTTACAATGCACAAAATGCACAGTTTGGCCTCGAAATGTCTGGTCAAGTTTCCTTGGAGTTGAAGAGCCTTTTTCAGACCCAAGGTTTTTGTCGACCTAGTTTGTCTACTTTTCTTTTTGCGTTTCTTCTTTTTAAGTTTCAATGAAAGTAAAGACATTTGTTTAGGTCGTATGATTATTGTCGAGCTGGTTTTTTTGTTCTTTTGTCTACATGTCTATTTGCTATTCTTCTGGTTGAGAATAAATGAAATTGAAGACTTTTAGTTAGGTCGTATAGTTTTTGTCAACATGTTTTCATCCACCTGTCTATTTGTCATTCTTGTGATTTACTGTCATTGAAATTGAAGACGTTTATTTAGGTTGTATGGTCATTTTTATCAATTATCATTTTTTGATTTTTGTCTGCTTTTCAATTTGATATTCTGTTGAATTTTCAATGAAATTGAAGAAATTATTCAATTCGTATTGTTTTTTGTGTCTTTTTTGTCTTGTATAGTTTTTGTTGACCTGTTTTTGCCACCTGTCTATTTAGTATTCTTTTGATTTAGTGTTATTGAAATTACGAACATCTATTTAGGTTGTGTGGTCATTAATTTCGGTTTTTGTTTTGTCTACTTTTTAATTTTCCATTCTTCTGGTCAAGTGTCAATGAAACTGAAGAAGTTATTTAGGTCGTAATGTTTTTGTCGGTCTTTTTTGTCTACCTCTCTGTCTTTTTGGTATTCTTTTGTTTGAGAGTAAAGGAAATTAAATACAATTAATCAGGTCGTATAACTTTTTTTCGACCTGTTTTTCATCCTTTTGTCTGTTTGCTATACTTTTGATTTAGTGTCATTGAAGTTTAGTGTCATGGAAATAGTGTCACTTGTTCAGGTTGCATGGTTATTTTTTATTCATTTTTGTTTTGTTTGTCTGTTTTGTTTGTCGTTTTGGTTTGTTATTTTTGTTTTGTTATTATTCTGGTCAAGTTTTAATGAAATTGAAAAAATTATTTAGGTCTTATTGTTTTTTGTCTATCTTTTTTGCCTATCTGCTTATTTTCTATTCTTCTGGCTGAGAGTAATTGAATTTTCTTTTTATAAAAACCAAATATTTATCTTACCATTTAAAGTTTTTGCACAAGATATACTTTCAATGTATGGTAATTTTTTGCACACCCGACATCGAATCAAAAATTGATTTGTTTTACTTTTGCAAAATGGTTCAAAGAATAAGCTGCAATCAAATCCGCTCGCTTCAGTTTTTTCGTAGGATTGATCCAATGAATTGATCCATCGGTTAACCTAGATACCGTACTAGAGAAATGGAACTATATTACTACTTTAAGACTAGATTATTTGAAGTGTTTATCAATAGTGTCTTGGGTGTCAATAGTTGTTCTGTCAACAGCAGCCGGTGTGTTGTTAGGCTCCAGGGTTTGTGCTCGATGTTTTTCTTGTTCCACTCTCTCTTAAAAAATAAAGAATAAGCCAATATTTAATGCCCTGGGTGTTTTTTTTTTTTCATTCAATCAATTTTCGACTTAGTCACCTAATTTCGAGGTAGTTCTTAAGCAGGGGCACAACAGCGGTTCGCCGTGATGAGCTGTACAGCTCGTATGTTGGTCCTATCCCTCGTGGATGAATGATCTTAATTAAATCAATTTTCGACTTAGTCACCTAATTTCGACGCTACATTGCGTTCTTATAACGCTTTTTAATTTTTGACGCTTCATGGTGTTCTTATTACTTGAGTGAGCGACGAGTTAAATCGTTCAAATTTGAATTGATTAAATTCAGCTTTTATAATTAGAGTGCGAGGCGTTAAATACATCCTTTTGTACTTTAAATAGCGTGTGGGGAGATAAAAGATCAATAATAAGACAAAACTTGCCCTGAATTACGAGCAGTTTTGCTGTTCCGACTTTCGAAAAAAGTTTGTAATGTATATGACTGGGGTGGTTCAGACCAACTTTGCCAAGAAATTTGCAAGCGCATCGGTATCGATCCGGAAGTCTTTGGATTTCTTAGGAGTATACTTGCATTAAACTAAAATGAGGACTATAGTGGTCATGTATGCCTGGGGTGGCTTTTTTAATTCAGACTAATTTTTCAAAGAAAGTTGACAGCGCTTGGGTATTGATCCGGGAGTTTTTTGATTGGCAAGCTGGTAAGCTTGCATAAGACTGAAATGCGGAAGGCATCACTGCTCGAATTATACTTTCAATGCACGAATTTTTTATTCGTGGCAAATTATCCGCTCCCATTATCTTTCCAAACTGAATTAAGACTATCTGATTGCTCAAATTGATTCTTCATTTTTTAGCACTTACAATCGCCATTGGCAGTACAAAGTTTCTAGCTTATCAAAATTTTATTCAACAAAAACTATTGGAGACCGAATAAAGGGCAGACGGAACATTCAGGGCTTTGTTCTATTATATAAGCAGTTTTATTATTTGAAAGAATTTTCAGACTCGATCAACTCAACTTAGTTCTGACTCTTATATAGGTCGCGATGATTTTTTCCTACGGGTTTTCAGATGCAGAACTTAAGGGTCTATTCTATAAAAAAAAACAGTAATGTTTCCATTGAATTAATATCTAAAAGATGCATTAAGTTTATTGTTCCGAATTTCGAAGAAAGTGCGGAATATTTATGCTTGGGGCGATTTTTTTTTATTATTCAATCATTTTTCGACTTTCTAAGTTCGCATTTTTGACAAAGAAAAATTGATGTACCAATAGAAAGAAAATGTTGTTTGGAGCTCAAATTGGGACTACTTTGAAAACTATAATTCAAATTGGGATAAGTAACACGCAATATATTTTGTTCTATTAAAGCTTCTGCGGCAAATTAAATGCTTCCAAGTTGAATCGAGGCAAGCTATTTGCGCTTTTTGTTCCGACTTTTGATACAAAAGTAACGGAATGTTTGTGCTCGAGGTGGGTTTTTTTTCTTCAGACAAATTTCGACTTTTTAACTAGCCATTTTTGACGGAATTTTTTTATATCATTCGAAAGGTATTGTTGTCCTGAGGTCAAATTTGAAAAGATGTTTCACCTGTGATTATTTTTCGTAAAATTATGAAGGTTTAAAGATTTCCATTTTGGCCAGTTTGGGACAATTAACGCGCGATATATTTCGCGCTATTAACGCGTAAGCGGAGAGTTAATCCGTCTTAGAAATTGTTCCAAGTTGGTTAAAAGAAGCTTATTTGCCATAATTGGTTTGTTACAAGGAGCGAGATCTATCCTTTTGTACTTTTGATGGTGTGTGGGGGGATGATTTTCATTTAAAAAAATTTCACATTTTCGAAAAAAAAATTTCTTTTGTTTTATTTCATTGAATTTTTTAGGGTTATTACTGCTCCATAAACCTTAAAAGGCAGTCGGAACATTCAGGGCTTCGCCCTGATACGAGCAGTCTTGTTAATACTTTACTACAAAACTGATCACTTTGTAAAACTTATCAGTCGGTACATTTTATAAGATGTTTTTTTTTAAATCGTGATCAACGATAGACGGCAGTCGGAACATTCAGGGCTTTGCCCTGATATACAAGCAGTATTGTTGTTCTAAATTTCGAAGAAATTAAAAACTGTACATGCTCGGGGTGGGTTTTTTCATTCAGGCCAATATTCAAATGATTTTTTCTCTTGAGGGATCGCACCACTACAATAACCTTGCTCGAGTCTAGCTAAATTTCTCGTTTTATACCCTGATGCTGATTTGACACCTAAAATTTGATATTATCAGCCTAAAATTCATATTTTGTCAATATTTCAAAAAACTATTCGAGGCCATTTAATAGGCAGTCGGATCATTCAGGGCTTTGCCCTGATACGAGCAGTACTGTTATGATTATTATATCATGTTTACATATTTTTCACCAAAAACGGTTGTTGGAAATTTCTGTTAATAGCAGCCGGTTATTTTGTTTATTTTCTTGTTTTATTTGAAATACTTTAGAGGTGGGTTCAAAATCTCATTTCGCTATTTTGCAATCTTTAGAGGGCATCAATCACTCTCAAATTACAATATCAGTTTTGTATTTTCTAAATATCCGCTTGCCCTTGATGATTAAAGAGAGTTAGCGGACATTTTTATGATAATCAAACATTAAATTACAACATCATTTGAAGTCGAGTTGGAGTTTATTGTCATTGATATTATCCAGAACGCTCACTGTACTATAATTTATGATTAAGTTATAAGTAATTTAATAAGTTAAAGGTAAAAGTTTGTCTATTGTAACAGGTGTGTTATGTAATTATTGAAATTATATAATTGTGGTAATTTTGAAGAATTAATGGGCGTATTGATCTAGGATTATAAGAAGAAACGAAGGCTGTTCAATTTTCTAGACTGAAGGTCGCACTAAATGTATAACTACATAATGATTGATGATTTGTGTCATTTCCAGTCAAATAAAGTTCTTTCTATTTGAAGCCAAACGTCCTATGCTTGAAATGACTAAATTATATGTCATGTAGTCTCTTTTTTTTTCTACAGACTTGAAGGTTGAGTCAAACTATATGCTTGGAAAAGCTGGAATAGTAGATAATTTTTAAAGTGCGAATACACCAAGTGATTTTTCACTTATTTAGGTCATACAGTTTTTTATTTTTTAATTAGCAGAAATTACTTTCAAACAATTACATTACAGGTGTGGGCGAGTGAGCCGGGCGAGACTGACCCAGCGGATGAGGTGGAACACGACTTCATCAACCCAGAGGAGGGCGAAGAGCCCAAGGACAAGGCGGCCGAAGAGGGCCACTGGAACAGACGACTGACAAGCTTCCAAAAACTCATATTCATGAAGATGCTAATGGAGGAAAAGGTTAATTTGATCACGTGATATTGGTAGACAATCATGTGACAAAATAGGACATTCAACTGCTTTTTTTGGGGAATGGTTTTTTCTCGTAATGAATTGAAACTTAGCATCTTCTCGGTGAAATTTATTTTGCGTTGTAGCTCGAAACACAATCTAGGTTTGCAGACCTTCAAGCAAAATTGAAATTTGAGAGCTTTTTTTGAAACTGAAAGCTTACCAACAAAGTGAAATATTTTTTCTACGAAACTTTGTGAATCAATTGTCAAATAATTGAGTGAGATTAGTTGAATGTGTACAGATATTCCTAGAAAAAAAATGAGTAAGTTTCACCTGTTCAAATATTGCTATTACAGGTGGTGTTTGCGGTGACTGACTTTGTGGTACAACACATGGGCAAACGCTTCATCGAGAACCCCCCTGTGAACATCGACATGCTTTACGAGGACATGAACAACCGCACCCCCCTCGTGTTCATCCTCAGCACCGGAAGCGACCCGATGGCCTCCTTCCTGCGCTTCGCCCGCGAGAGGGAGTACTCGGACAGGGTACATGCCATCTCTCTCGGCCAGGGTCAGGGACCCATCGCGGAGAAATTGATAAATGGCGCGATGGAGTCGGGCGACTGGGTGTTCCTACAGGTAATCATACTGCTCTCATTGTTGTCATTTTTTTCTTAATCTGTTTTTGTTTTATTTATATTCTTGTTGTTGCTGTAATGCCATTTTCCTGATTGCAAGTTTCACACTAACGAATGATGAAATTAACAATAACCTGTTCTTTTTAGTTATTTCTACCTGTTCCAACGTTTTATTATAGAGTTTTCAACTGACCAAACCTATCAAAAAAACGATCTGTTCTTTTTAATTAAATTAATTCTATCTGTTCCAACTTTTGCCATTTACAGAATTGCCACCTGGCGAAGAGTTGGATGTTGAGTCTGGAGACTATAGTGAAGACTTACGCGGAGCCCTCTACCCAGATCCACAGGGACTACCGCCTCTTCCTCTCCTCCATGCCGGCCCCCTTCTTCCCCGTCACTGTGCTGCAGAACAGTGCCAAGGTCACCAATGAACCCCCCAAGGGTCTGAGGAGTAACATCAGGAAGGCATTCGCCGAGATGGACGCCTCCTACTTCAATGATCACAGTCAGTTCCTCAGTTGATTATGTAACATCAGTTGATTATGTAATATCAGCAGTCATGTGTAGCCCCATAAAAAATCAGAATCGGTCTTTAACTTAGATAGTAAAGAAACGCCACAATAAACAGGAATAGATGGCTTTGGCAAATTTTTTTAAAGCTTTTTGCGTTGAGTTATCGTTTATTTTTGAGAATTGAGTTTTTTGCTAAGCTAAAATATGCTTGCAAAATATTTCACTTGATTGCTCTGTTCAAATCATTTTTATCTTAAACCCATTTTACCATGATTCAGTGCGAGGATGAAATAAATAAAACATTGAGCCTTTGGGGGAAGGGGGTTAACCTAATCTTAAGATAGAACTTGGAGCCAATCAAATTTGAGTATTTACCGGCGCTATGTTGATCCAGTGGGTTTTGGGTACTTTTGATTAATTTGAGGGGTTGGATGTTAACTTGCTTTAAAATTTTAATGTGAGAAGCTTGCATAGCTTACGCTGCGTGAAATTAAAATAACGTTCTAGAAAACATTTTTGATCATTATTGGAACCATAATTATTTCTTCCAGTGTTTTCATTATTGGAACCATAATTATGTCTTTTATTATGAGCGACAGCTTGCCTGAATTGTTGAGATTTTTTATATTATAATTGTTTATGAGGAGAATTCGTGTTGATTTGATGTTTTTTAAGTCCTGGGCATGAACTGGCGCAAGATAGTGTTTGGTATCTGTTTCTTCCACGCCGTCATCCAAGAGAGGAAGAAGTTCGGACCCCTCGGCTGGAATATCCGGGTAAGGATCAACCCACCTGTTAATGAAGTTCATTTATTCATGCAAAACGCACAAGACTTCAGTTCATACAAAACCGAGTAGCATATAAGTAATAGCAGAAAGTTGGAACAGACAGAAATAATATAAAAGAGTCAATGAGACATATTTGAGAACGTTTTTTGCACGCAACACTTAGTTTTCCGAATGAAAAAAATTATGTCGCAAGGTCGTTTGAAAAATCCAGATTGCATGCAAAATTTGTTCAATTTTGGCAGGTTGCTCTTTTAATTTTGTCTGTTCCAACTTTTTGCACCTCTTTTTAAGAATCCATTGTGTTCAAACTGCCTTTTGCACTTGGCTCAATATTAGGAAAATATAATTCTTGTTGTTTTTTGCCATTAAACAAAAAACTAAACACCGGGGGGGGGGGCGTTTTTCGAAAAATTTTGAAAAATGTTGCCTACTTTTTTGATCAATTTGTCGACCAATTTTGATTATCGGAAAAGGTACTATAAGGACCCCATTTTGTCAAAAATTTTCTGCTCCGCAAGCAATTTTTTTGCACAAAACAGGCAAAAAAGGCGTTTTTAGGCTCTTTTTGGAAAATTTTGACCAATAAATTGCGTTTTTTCGGCGCGCGCTCCCCCCTCTAAAATTAGTTATATTGGCGCCAAAGGAGCCTTTAGAAAAGTTTTAGTCTCGATCAGCCGAAAATGAATGTCGTAAAGTTATACAAAGGGGGACCTTTTCGAAAAATTTGGCAACCAGAATTGAAGGTGGCGGTCGCCAAAACCCGACCCCCACCCCCCTCGGTACGCTACTATTTGCAATTTAATTTTGAACACCTCTGATCGATACGCGTATCTTCAATTGAAAATTGAGTGATGTTATTTTGAGTGTAAATAAACCCGCCGAAGTATAAATGAACTGCAAATGCGCAGAGTATATAAACCAATCGAAAAGTTACATCATTGAATGAAATTTACATAACTTTCGTAACTGTTGCATAATTGTTGCATAACTATTGTATAACACTTACGTATTTTCGGCTGGTTGATACTTCGGCTTGTTGATACTTCAGCTGGTTTATATACCACCGTTATTTTATTGTGTTTGTTTGTGTTGCTGTAGTATGAGTTCAATGACCCCGACAGAGAGTGTGCTCTGCAGAATCTGAAGTTGTTCTGCACAGATGCCATTCCGTGGGACACCCTCGTCTATATCACAGGAGAGGTCAGTCCACCAAATCTCTGTCCTTCATTTGGACATTGTTAGGTATCCCATCCCTCTATGGAACCTACAGGTATAGAAGAAGTTCCACTCCTGCAACGGGCTAAATTAATGGCTGAGCGCATATTTTGTACCTTCTAACAAATCGTCCAATTTTTTGCAATATGAGGACAAAGAGTCAAAAAAATCTTCAAGTTTTTGAGTGGTAACGTTGCAGTTGTTAAATCTGGGATTACGTCATTGACTTCGTACCGGGAAAACATGCTCAATCCTATGAAAAAAGTCGTCCGTAACAGTCATAAAAATGAAAGATCACACGGCCTTGTGGTGCAGATCACAAATCGAGGTCGGTTTACTGGCACATGGGAGAGTTTTATCAGATTCTGGACATAAATTGCTGACCTGAACCCGGGAATGTAGGAAATATCCTTAGCAAAGTCTGTTTTATTGACAGCTTTTGTTGTTGTTGATTGTAATGATGACGCTGAAGGCTTTACGACCAATTCTTGTCTCAAAGATGGACTGTGATCGAAATGCTTGGCAGATTAGATGCGTCTTGTGAGCTCGTTTGAATTTCTCTTTACTCTTCAAATCTCACACAAAAATAGTCAGGGCGTTCCATATGTAACTGCTCCATCTTTTGTTTATCATATCAGGGGCGGATCGAGGATTTTACGGAGGGAGGGGGGCATTTTTTGGTAAATTTTGATTAAAAAACCGCTTTTTTGGCGCGCTTCCCCTCAAAATTAGTATAAATTGGCGCCAGAAGCGGTTTTAGAAAAATTGTAGGGTCAGTCAGCCAAAAATGGAATACTTAAAAAGTACCGAAAGGAAAAATCGTCCGCCACCCCACGACCCCCCTAAATCCGCCCCTGTATCATATTTATTTGCTGTGATGTAGATCACATACGGAGGCAGAGTGACTGACAACTGGGACCAGAGGTGTCTGCGGACCATCCTCAAGTCCTTCTTTGGGAAGAACACGCTGGAGGAGAACTTCAAGTACAGTTCCTCAGGAGTCTACTACTGTCCCCTCAAGGACACCATCGAGGAGTTCCGGGAGTACATCGAGGCACTCCCCATCATCGACAATCCAGAGATATTCGGAATGCACGAGAATGCTAACCTTATGTACCAGGTACGCATTTCCCCCGCATATCGAATCTAAAGCAAAAACTTTTTTATTATCAAGTTAAAATCTTTCTCAAACAACAATTTAGGGGAGAGGATCTTAATTTTGATTCAGTTTTAATGGTGGTTCGTCTAATATATTTGAAGCAGGGTATCATTTTGTTGTCGTTACCTATTTTTGAAGCCTATATTCAATGCAGAAATTTTGGAAACTGCTATTGGATTCAAACCATTCTTACGGTCCATGCATTTTTGAATCAACCTGTGTTTTCTGATAATGATCATGGAGGCAGAATATGGAGTTTTAACTAGTTAGTACAAGGCAAGTATTTTGTTAGGAATGTTAAAATGTCCGGTTTTGGCATAAAAACTTGATGAAAGCTTCGTACTCATTTTTGCAATGAACTGGAAATTGCTAATTGTGCTAGCTTGGTGAAATTTTTTTTAACCCAAAGAATTGATATAAAAAAACGGATCGGTTTGATTTGATTCCTGCAACACAGTTCGATTTTTTATATTTCCAGATTACCGAAACGAATCTACTTGTGAACACAATCTTGAACGTGCAGCCTCGAATGTCGGGTGGAGGCGGCGGAAAGAGCAATGATGAAATAGTTTACGAACTAGCCGATAGCATCCTCGCAAAATTAGCGAGCGTGCTAGACTTGGACCAAGCTCGAGCCGACATGTTTGAGGTAACATCTCTGCTCTGATTGGCTGAGAATTACTTAATTCTAATTGGCTGTTTGAAGTGTGAAATCATTAACGGTTTTCTTTTGCTTTTTAAGCTGGACATCGATTTGTTCACATTCAAAGTATGATTTGTAAACATTTTGATGTTTTTTTTTCTAGAAAAAAAGTGCAAACTTAAAACACTTTAAGCACCTTTTCACTGCTTCATTTATTTGTTTGCATTTTTTTCTGGAGAAATCAAACATTAAATGTGTTTCTTGTCCAAAATGTTATCGATAAAGTTGACTCTTTCAGTTGTCTTAAAAAAGTTCAAATGTTTTTATGTTGGCCAATTTATGTTGACTCTATTTTGCACGTGGTTAACTAACAGAAGAAAACCAAGGTACTAACCTTTTCATCAAACTCATTCATTAACATTATTGCACTAGTTATAAGGACATAACCAGAATCCTTTCCATGATCAAAAGCCTTCTTGGATAGATTTGTTTCGCAAAAAGTATTTGTAGGTACCACGATTTTTTGTTGCTACAACGCGGTGTTAGTCAAATTTAGAGGGGTTGTAAAAACATAAACTAAAAAACCCAAGGTTCTGTTCTTTAACTACAGATCATTTATTGGCTCATTTTAGACTTAAATTATCGTTGGAAATTGCAGTCAACAAATTTCTGAATGAAGTTAATTAACCCAAAACCGCAAATTTTGAAAGCTGAAACCATTAATTCACTCATTTAAGCGTGTAAAATTTTTGTCATTCACGCTATGTCAACGTTATCAATGAGAGATTAATTGGAACACGACTGATCGTATATCAGGGCAAAGGCCTGAATGTTCCGACTGTCCCTTAATTAATATCGAATAGTTTTTGTGGGGAAAAAAATATTGAAAACCTATACATTTTGGGCAATATCCAAGTGTAAAATTTTGAGTCGTACGAAGTTAATACGACCAATTAGCTAGCCTCGATTCAATTTGGAACGATTGTGTTGAGCGAAATAATTCGCCTCGCATAAATAATTCGTGTTACGCTCTCAGCGTCATGAGTAAACTCTTCAAAGCGCGCATAATTTAGTTCAGAACATGGGAAATTTGGCAATTTTCAAACCCCCAGAACTTAACAAAAAATTATCGGAGGTGAAATATCTTTTGACATTTGAACTCAGAAAGTCGATATCTTCAGTGGGGAATAAAAAATTTCTGTTAAAAATTATTATTTCGATCGGTGAAAGTTTGACTGAGTAAAAAAACCACACCGAGCATAAATATTCTGTTTTCTTCGATAGTCGGAACAAAAATTAGCCCAACACTTAAGGCCAAAGATTACCTGGAAGTTAAGAAATTTGTGGCCAAAACATTTAGCCAAAGAACAAACCAATGATTAAACAGAACTTAGAAAAAATGAGGCCAACGCATTGAATTTTTTCAGCCCGATGCAAAAGGACGAATGAATTCTTTGACTACTGTGTTACAACAAGAGGTTGCAAGATTCAACAAACTCCTCAAAGTGATCCAGGTATGAGCTCCCATCTGACATCTCATTCTAAAAGGCATCTAGCTTGATCTAAATTGACATTTTTCTTTATAGTTCTCATTTTATAAAACCTAATAATGGAAAATGGAATTCTAAAATGTTTTATTTGGTATAAAATTTTGAAAATTTTGTTGTGTTTTCTTTAAGTGGAATTGATTTGCATAGAAAGTTTGCTTTTTCTCGAAAAGAATGCATATGTATTCTGTATTGGCTATAAGTTTTCGAATCAATTTTATACCTACAGAAAGAAGATTGATTAGCTGGTGTTTTTTGTTCCGACTTTTTTCTCTTTGCAGACCACTCTGAAGGAACTGCAGAAGGCGATCAAGGGGCTGGTGGTGATGAGCGAACAGCTGGAGCTGATCTACAAGGCCTTCCTGAACAAACAGGTGCCCAAGCAGTGGGAGAGTGCGGCGTATCCCTCGCTCAAACCACTCGCCTCTTGGGTCAAAGACCTCACCCTCAGAATCGACTTCATCAAGGTAAACTACCATCGCCATCTTAATCGTAAAAGTGGCATTGTGGCGCTCAGATAGTGATTGTGCCCAGCAAACATATGATTGCGGGCTCAAATCGCACTTGCGTTGCAATTTTCCCGGTGGGCTCTTGCAAGTAAGTCATAGCTTTATGGGTGCTGGTTATATGCGCTCTTGTCAGTCTAAATTATTAACCTTTGGGTTAGTCCTCCGGCTTGGTTGACTAAAAAAGCAACACTGTTTGCGCGACAAATAGCATTGGAGATGATGCTTCAATAATTTGCTTACACTTGCCCAGCTGTATTTACATTCGGCACGACTGCTTCAGTGCACATGAATCAGTTTTTGTTGCTTAATGCGGATTTTTAAGACACCCATAACTCAAATTAAATTCACTAATCAAAATTGTCGCTGTTAGGAAAATTATAAGTATTCGGTTGTTACGAGTTGACCACTTCGCATACAAAAAAGAAGGTTTCGAACTTTTAGAACAGAAAAAGGTTGTCGCGGGAAATGTCCTAAAATGATAAAATGAATGAAAATAAAACAATGGTGTAAAATTTTCAATTTTTATTCTTGATAATTATGTTCAACAGTCTTATTATTAAATCAATGATGCAAACAATTCTGATAAGTGTGGAAAAAGAGCTGGGAAAAAAGCGAAAGTATCAACTTGATCATGGGCGAAGTGTGTGTGTTTGTGTTGAATAGAACTGGCTAGTGTACGGCATGCCCCGCTCCTTCTGGCTGTCGGGATTCTTCTTCCCCCAGGGATTTCTGACGGGGGTGCTGCAGAACTTCGCCAGGAAGTATGACTACCCCATCGACGTCCTCTCCTTCCACTTCCACGTGCTCCCCCACTACAGAGACCAGGTCAGTCCATCTGGCAGTATACTAACTACTGTTAGTTAATAAGTTATAAGTAGTAAAAAATACTGATTATCAATAGTATGGCTTCTACAGCTTCAGTTTCCACTCTTCGTGATCTGCGGTCTTCATTTAGACAACCTTTCAAGTAGACAAGTCATCAAGTAGACAAATACTACATTATTCAATCAGAATTGGGATAAGAAAAGCGAATGTATATGCAAGAAAAATAGTGGTTAATGTGGTATTTGTCTACTTGATGACCTGTCCCGGGTCGAGGTGGGGACTTATGTTGCGACCATATTGACTCAAAAAAGCTATGTTGCGACTGTGCGCGATCCAAAAAAGGTATGTTGAGACCATTGCAATTCAAAATGGGTATGTTGCGACTTTGCGCAATCGAAATGTTTGCGCGACTTTGCCCGGGCCAAAAAAAACATATTGCGACTTTGTGCTACTCAAAAACACAATATATCGTCTACTTAAAAGGTTGGCTACTTGTTGCTGTGTAAACAGGAAATCAAGTGTCACCCATTTGTTGTTATTGTTTTTAGTTCCGCTTAGTAGCCTAATACTTAATTTGAATAGCCCAGTAAAAGAAAATTTGTGATAAAATTTGAAGTTGCATTATTGTGTAATATTATACGAGATTAACTACAAAATAATGGCCCGTATCTTTTCGTTCAGGAGGATTGGTCGATCGCCATGTCGTCCATGAAGTTCGGCGAGGAACTGGAGATGGACCAGGCCACTCCTGCTCCCGAAGACGGAGTGTTCGTCCACGGACTCTTTCTGGACGCCGCAAGCTGGAACGACAAACAAAACCAGTTGGCAGATGCTATTCCGGGAGAGATGAATCCGACGATGCCCATGATCCACATGGAGCCCAAGATGAACTTCACAGCACCAGACGAAGACTACATTGCGCCTCTGTACAAAACGGCCGCTAGGGCTGGTGTATTGTCCACAACAGGTAAGTTTTAACCAGTTTTTTCTCAATGAGAAAAGTTACTGGTTTTGTACATAGTACAAAGTTTTTTATTCCGATCACTATGTAATAATAGTAGTGTTTAGATGTTTATAAGAGTTTAGATGTTTATAAGATTAGCATTAGCACATGCGTTTCGTATAATGAAAAACCCAAAAATTGATTGCGTTCAAATATGATTTTTTAGCGTTTGAATTTCTTTAAATTCAATTTAACCTTCTGTTGGCTATGTTTCAATTAAGATAAGAGAGTAAGAGAGTTTTTTTGAAAATGGTGGTATAAAAACCAGCCAAAAATTCATAAGTGTTATGTAAGTTCTGTAACAATTAATTAACAGATACGAAAATTATGCTATTTTCATTCTTATGATGTAACTTTTTGGCTGGTTTATTCACACTCTTTGAACAGTTCAAACTTGAAAAGTTAAAAAAAAAAATTCCAGGTCACTCGACGAACTTCGTGGTGGCGATTCACCTGCCAACTTCGCAGACTCAAGACTACTGGGTCAGCATGGGAACTGCACTTCTCACACAGCCCGAAAAATAAACAACCGAACAGCAAAAACAACAACAAAAGCCCAGTATAAATTCATTCATGAACCCGCAACGAGTCAAAATTCTTAACATATTTTCAATTTTCAGCAAATTTTTTTGCTTCGCATTTGGGTTTGCTCATCAAGACGAGATAGGTGTAAAAATGTGAGATATGTCTTAAGTTAGCTCTGTACAAATGCTGTAAATAGTATAAATTTGAATTGGTAGTTGCAAGTATGTTAATAAAATGTATATTTATTAACTCAAGTTTAATTCATTCTTCGCTCTCATGCTTTCCAGCGTAATTATAAGTCGATTCAAGTGAGGTAGAGGGGTGGTTTTTGAAAAATTTTCTAATGCCCCTCGAACTGATAAAAAATGAGAGGGAAAGGAAATTCACCTTATTTTGTCGTCTTCGAATCTTGTGCCACGCTCGAATCTTGATATTTCCGATTCGTATTGACATTTTTATTGTTTCGACCATTTGACAAATGCGGAGAAAGTTTGTATTCGGGTGTCTTTTAATTTTTGTTTTCCATGCAAAATCAGGCGTTACAAACACTCATCGGAATGAGTCAAGTGATATATCATAAAAAAGCTCTTTCAACTGTGATTCGAACGACATTTGAAAAATGTTTTCAAAATGTTTTCTCAGTAATGAGAAAAACCAGTTTGAAACACTTGGTCTAATTTTAAACTAATAAGGTGAGGCTAAGCAGGCTTACAAAAGTCTATTTATGCTCAATTCGTATTGACGTTCTTATTTTTCGACCATTTGACAAATGCGGAGAAAGTTTGTATTCGGGTGTCTTTTATTTTTTTGTTTTCCATGCAAAATCAGGTGTTACAAATACTCATCGGAATGAGTCAAATGATATATCATAAAAAAGCTCTTTCAACTGTGATTCGAACGACATTTGAAAAAAGTTTTGAAAAAGTTTTCTCAGTAATGAGAAAAACCAGTTTGAAACACTTGGTCTAATTTTAAACTAATAAGGTGAAGCTAAGCAGGCTTACAAAAGTCTATTTATGCTCAATTCGTATTGACGTTCTTATTTTTCGACCATTTGACAAATGCGGAGAAAGTTTGTATTCGGGTGTCTTTTATTTTTTTTGTTTTCCATGCAAAATCAGGTGTTACAAATACTCATCGGAATGAGTCAAGTGATATATCATAAAAAAGCTCTTTCAACTGTGATTCGAACGACATTTGAAAAAAGTTTTGAAAATGTTTTCTCAGTAATGGAAAAAACCAGTTTGAAACACTTGGTCTAATTTTAAACTAATAAGGTGAGGCTAAGCAGGCTTACAAAAGTCTATTTATGCTCAATTCGTATTGACGTTCTTATTTTTCGACCATTTGACAAATGCGGAGAAAGTTTGTATTCGGGTGTCTTTTATTTTTTTTTGTTTTCCATGCAAAATCAGGTGTTACAAATACTCATCGGAATGAGTCAAATGATGTATCATAAAAAAGCTCTTTCAACTGTGATTCGAACGACATTTGAAAAAAGTTTTGAAAAAGTTTTCTCAGTAATGAGAAAAACCAGTTTGAAACTGTTGGTCTAATTTTAAACTAAAAAGAGAGGCTAAGCAGGCTTACAAAAGTCTATTTATTCTCAATTCAAGTCAGTTTGATTTGTTTTACTCGAGTAAAGTTAGTTTTGGAGTTTTGTAATGCCAAGTTAGGATTTAAAAACTTAAAAACTCAAAATTTTTTGAAAAAGTTGAAAGAATTGGCCTATTGTGTTTGCAATTGGCCTATTGGCTCTTTTCCCTACTTTTTTCATATTTTTAATTTTTTTCTCTCACGTTTTATTATGGCTGAATGCGTGATGTTACAATGTAAAACATGCAGAACAAATCTTTTTGTAATTTATAAGACTAGGGTTGAAACATTCTGTGCTACTTGAACAGTAACCGGCTACACTTGTTCTAAACTTGTGTACTGTTTCTGATTGGTATTGGAGTTTAAGCAGTAACCAAAAAAGCAGTAATTCAAAACAGATAAGCTGCGTTAGGCAGGAGGATAAGCAAACTGCGCATAGGTTTGAACTAATTTTTATGAGATTGCCTTCGGCGTGGGTCCCACTTCCTGTTGAACCATCAAAAAGACAAAACTTCGGCTGTCAACTTTGTGTTGGCTATCTATCAATCGTTGCTTCTAAAATAATTTATTTATATTCACGACATGTTCGTTCGTTTGCTCGAAGACTGTATTTATCCATTTTTTCTAGATTCAATAAATGCCAGAACCAGTATTTTGTCTATCAACACGATCTGCGCTTCGACCCGAACGACTGGGTGGTAGAATTATTGTCCGCCGAACCAAAGGCACAAAACTCCGCTTGTGCAACTTCAAGAATTAGTGACAAAGCATTCTTATTGTCATCTGATTTCGCCCATAGAGGTTACCTTAGAGGCGACAAGATAGAACCTTTAACTCTCACTTAGAACTCTCACTTAGAACCTTTAAGCCCCGCCAAATACAGATATGCTGGTGTAGAAATGATAATAGACCAAGATGTTTATGAAGCACAGTCAGGATAAAAGTCAGAAAAGCATATCGATGATGTAAGTTGGGTACACCAGGTCAAATACCGTTATGAATTCGAATCACACTGGCCTACAAGCAAGTAGACAGCCGATAAACAGGCGATTCAAATCCTTGAGTCAACTACCATATAGAGGGAATGGTATCCTCACCATTGTTGATTAACACCAAAATGCCGGTAAAAGTTAAGCGCGTCCTCAATAGAATATCAAAATTTCATCATTTCCCCCATCGAGGCTCTTCGGACCACACTTGCTTCAAACAAGTTCTAGCCATGTTATTAAGGTTCCGGAAGCATCAATATGAATTATCTGCTGACATACCACTACACCCGACATATATTCTGAGCTCGCTACTTCTCCAAATAGGCACAATCCTTAAGTCGAAAAACCGCTCGATACAATCAAACTTTCCTTTCCAGCAGCAGTTTCTGCAGTGATTTAGAATTCTATATGAAAGATTACCTTGACTCGTTAAAACACCCAGAAAAAAAATATATTATTTGTCATATTAGTTGTCAGCCGATGGGAAAATAGAGAACTGACAAACAATGTTACCTAGCGCACGGCACGGTCTAAAGCGTTGTCTCCTTAGTCTTCAACCCCATTGGAGTGGTGTTTTCATGAACTCTAAGAGGACATCTCCTCTTAAAAAAAGTGTGTAGAATAAATGGCCAACATTCGGATGACAGTAGTTCGGAAAAACTGTTCAAAACACACCTCGAATGTCATTATTCTGGCCTATCCATCTTAGTTCAGCTAACAATTCCACGCTGCTATGTTCCATCTGCAGCTGACATAAATGACTTGCATATATCTGACGATAATTCGCCAGAGGTCTTCTGTGTAGTTGAATATCTTCGTTCGCGCACTTTGGATACTCTAGAGACAAAAATCCCCTTCATTCTGGGTAAAGTGCAATTAGCTCTAATGAAGGCTATCTCTGTTCCTAATTTATATAGGCTGTACAGTTTCAAGAGGATATTGTTAAAGAACGTCGCATTCCGATAATCGATTACTTCAGGAGGACAGACAGCGCGACCGTGCTCTAGTGGCTCCAGTTTTTCTCGCCAACCGAGTAAGCGAAATACTTAAGGTCACCATCTTAGGCGAGGGAATTTTTAAAAGACAGCAGCTGGACCCAAAAGCTCCAAAAGTTTCCTAGACTGGCCCAGTCGTCCAATTCATGAGTTAGTCATCAAAATGGGACTCAAAGGTCCAGTTGATGATGCTATTGATACCACCTCTAATCTCGTCGCACTCTCGCCACCATTCAAACCCGTTATAAATTGGTCTTCTTGCAGCTCCTTTGTCAAACTGTTACGCACCGTAGCATTCATCGTCAGATTAGATCCCAAGTTCCATCATTACCCTAAATCAACTCTTAGAATCGTCAAAAACTTGGGCCTCGAAATTACAAAATCTGTTTTCTGAAATCTATTTAAGACAAAACATCTCATCATACATGATGCTTGTCCACCTTTAATGAGGTTATTTGTAAATTATCTGCCTAACTATCATGAAAATCAATCTATGGTCTATCTATGTTCTGTCATACAGTTGGATTACGCCGTCTTGAAGTTAGGATTATTTTCAGCAACATTGAACTTAACTGCCTAACAGTACCAGTAAAAGTAACTTTGTCAGCGCAGAGAAAGAGCTTCTTCTGTGCACTCGAGCGTGGAAAGACTTCGAATCAGCACATTTTGTAGAAGAAGATATAAAATGGAAATACAATCCTCCTTTCGCGCAACACCATATTGCCTCGTGGGAACGGCTTGTACGTAGTTGGAAGAGAGTGTTCTACTCGATCCCCATACCTCATAAAAAGTCTGAACAAGCTCCTCAGACATTTTCCTGCCTTGTGACCCAATTGAACTTGAAGGACTTACGGCCACCCCAGTTGGAATCGACGGTTACGGGAGTACTCTCAATAAAATCCGCTCCGCACTAACTAATGAAAACAACTACTAGACAATTCAATCGTCCTCTAGTTAAACTCGCTCCGGTCCTCGCTCCCTAGGGTCACGAGGATGTTTCTGATTGAAATACTAATATAAGCGTGAGCTAAAAACGCAGTAAGTTAAAGACAGACAAGCCTGGTTGGCCGAAGGATTAAAGAAACTGCGCATAGGTTCAAATTAACTTAAAAACATTTCTCAATGATTAGATTTTCAAAAAAATTATTTTGACCGCGCCTCAGGCAAATTTTTTCCGCGCCTCAGGCAACTAAATTTTCCGCGCCTCAGGCAACTTTTTTTGAAAACAGGAAAATTTTCACAAAAAAAATTGCTTTTTAAAGGTGCACGCTTCCTCTTCAAAATAAGTGTATATGGCGCCAAAGGCGCCCTAAGACCTTGTCTCCCCTCAGAACCCCACGTCCCAAAAATCCGCTACTGATTTTGACGATTGTCCTAATGAACAAGCTTGTCTTGATAACCATATCAGTTTTTTTTTATCTGAGTCGCAATTTTGTAATTTTTTTATTTTACAATATGTACTGCTCCATTTTACAAGCATTCATTTTAAATAAAGTCTTCAATCGGTAAAAAAGTCAACGAGTTTACTAAAACAATGAAACAAGAAAAATGCTGGATTTTGCATTGACAAGACGAGTCATTATTCGTTAGGATATTTGGGTTTTAAGCAAGCTATTTATCGTAAATGCTACGTTACTGGGAGTTAAGTCTATATCAAATCTATATGAAATGGAACAAGGTCAAAAAAGTCGAAGAAT